ATCAAACTGTCTGTCCGTCTATCAAACTGTCTGTCCGTCTGTCTGTCTGTCTGTCTGTCTGTCTGTCTGTCTGTCTGTCTGTCTGTCTGTCTGTCTGTCTGTTTGTCTGTCTGTCCATCCGTCAGACCGTCCGTCCACCCAACCAACCAACTATCTGTCCTTCCAGCTAACAGTCTGTCCATCTATCCATCCGTCGATTAATCCGTCCGTGAATTTTTTGTCTTACAAGTGAAACATCCATGTTAATGCAATATTATTTTCTTGTCCACGTTTTCTTACTAAAGTGTTTAGTTTACACTAAACCAATTCAAATGTTTGAGTATAACTTTACACATTTGTTTTATGACTTTTTATTTGATAGAAAWATGAGAAAGTGACTATAATGCATGTGCATTTTATTGCTTTGCTGTAGGGTTACTCCACATGTAAGTATTTAAAGCCTACAGTCTTAAAATAGAAGCTGTCACATTCAGTCCTCCACAAGAAGCTGAAGTAGTTATATTTGCTGAATACCTAACAAATGCAGGCTTGTTGAAATGATAGGTTATCACAAGAAGTAATTTTAAATGTATTAATCTTTACAAATCTATTATGGTTTGGATGTGAAGTAGTTTTGTAATAAGAAAATAAGTGTTCTGTTTTGTTCTTAAAAGATATAAACAATTTAGAGATGAGGTTATAGCATCCTTACGACATGGCGTATTTCCAGCTCTTGAGATTTATTTAAGGTAAAGCACTGTGTTGAAGTGGCACTGAAATAGCTCTCCTGTCTCACATGAGTCTGTGTTTCTGTGAGTGTGAGCACGTAAACGTGTGACACGCCACAAAAATGTGCCCRCACTGTTGATGAGAAACAAGCTGAACAGGATAGTTAAATTTTGTACCTCCTGGAAAAGCCTTTTTAATGTGATCTGATTTTTGGTTACGTGTCATACTCAGAGTGACTCTAGGTTGGTGTGGATCTGTAGGCTGGTGGCATGGAGTGGGCGTTTTGTGGCAGCAACAAGAATCTCACGCCCTATAAAATCGAGGGTAACGTTCTGAACAATGGCTGCTTCGTGGATGCCCTTAACTTGGTTCCCCACGTGTTCCTGCTCTTCATTACCTTTCCCATCCTTTTCATTGGTAAGTCATCGAATATACATCCATGTTTGCATTCCAGGCCTGTAACATGCTAAAGTTAAAATTGTAAAAGTTTTATTATTTAGTTTAATGTTTTCATTCTGTCTCACTGAGGTCACTTGATTTGTGATTATCCCTTGTGTGGTACAAGRCAGAGAAGACAATAAAATTACTTTCTAAAGGATAATGAGGTTTCTGACAATCTTGGGATCCTGTTCATTTGCCTGTTTTGTTGTGTGTTCTGCACCTTAACATCACCTGAAAACGTTGTTTCTTGGTACTCTACTGGACAATTGATTGCCTTTTCCAGCAAACCATCAAATGCCTCTCAGTATGGCCCTGATTGCCCCCAGTCTAAATAAGTATCATGTATTGCAATAAAACCTTACACTTTCCCAGTAGTTTAGGCTCAACCACTTTTCTGAACCTTATGTTTTCTAAAGAAAAGTGTGATCTATACATGAGCTATTCATTATAATATTTGTTTTTTGTTGTCMTGGARGAAAGACTGAGGTTCTGATGCTCACCATTTTGATGACGCTCTTCTTGAACATTAAAAAGAACACTACATGAGCTGAAGGGACACATACAGACCATGCACATTTTGTGCTAAAACTAGACGTGACAGGTGATATGCACCCCCTCCTTTATTACTATCTTTTATTACATTTTGTGTCTCTGGATAGTTCTTTTCTACACATTCATTAAGTAAAGATGTTTTGCAGAAGCTGATGTTGGTTGTGTGCCATTTGTGTGTTCTCRCAATTCTCCAGCTTTCTCCCAAAGGACTCACTAACTGTTACTGAATTTTTTAGTTGCTAAACCATTAACATCCAAAATGGGGTTATCTAAGCAACAAAAAYATTAAAAAGACAAATAATTGTTTCAATACAGCAACACATTCAGGTATTGTATGTAGACCTACAGTTGACTTTTTTTTGTCTTCAGTGACAAACTAAATAAATTTTGGACTTTTGGTGAAGGAAAACCCACACAGGTTTTAAAACACATTTTAAGCATATTTTTTCATATTATTTGAACCAACTGTCCACTTTATCATGATAATATATTTGAATTTTTGTTTTGCCTTTTCATCTTTTGTTTAAATTTGTACCAAATAAACTGCTCTGATTGTTCCACAGTTTTCTTGGCTTTATGAAGCTCCATAGATTGGTCATAACTTATC